TCTTTTTCTTTCTTCTTACCATACTTCAAATTATTTTCTTTACTTCTTCATCATCTTCTTTCTTCATCCTTCTTTATTTCCATTGCTTTTATTTTCTCCTTCACGTCTTCACGATTTCTCCAATTTTCCATCGGTGTCGTCTTCTTCATTTCGCTATTTTTCGCTTTATCTTCTTGATCTTCTTCGTCTTTTTCCGCTTCATTTTCCGTTCCGCCTTTACTTCGTCATAATTTTTTCTTTTGATTTTCTTCTTTTTCTTCTTCTTCCATCCGCTATCCGCTTTGTATTCTTGATGACTTTCACCTTCATGTGTAGACCATAAGTGCTTCTGAACGTGTTTCGCAGTTGGGTGTGGTGAAATTCGTGCATTCCCGTTTGATTTTGGAAATCCGTATCACAAAATTGCCCACCGATTCCTTTTTTTGCCGTTCGACGACGACGGGTTTGCTTTCGCAAGAGTGACGTTTATTGGATCCGTTTCTTTGCACGGGTGTTTTTTTTTTGTAACTAGCATAAAGGCCCAAACGCAATGTGGACGGAAGCGGAACGGAAACGGAAAGTTTGACAGTTGTCACAAATGACATCAAGATGGCTAACCGAAGTCGATTGGGTTCCAACAAGTTTTCAATTCGACAAGTTGGCTTACTGTGCCTGCGATTTGCATTGAGTGTCGGAGATTGTGAGTTAGCTGAAGGATGTCTCGCTGGATATGCCCAAGTCTGGACGGGCGGTAGCTGGTGGCCGTGAACGGTTGCTGGGGAAAGCACTGGGTGCCAGGCAAAGGTGTTTATCCTAGACAAATGGTAAGTTACAAATTCTCTGTTATCGTTGTCGTAGGCGCCGTCGTAGTCGCTGTCGTAATCGCCGTCGTAGTCGTAGGCAGTACCGTTAGTATATTTAAAATTAAACATCAACCGCTGAAAATATGAATTATCGCGTATTTCTGTTGTTCATTACATTCCAAGTGAAATTCGAGAACGTAATTTCATTTGAATAGCTTGTTTAACCAGGTCTTAAACAATCGTCACGTCGGCCATAGCTTGTTATGATTGTCTGAACCATGCGTAAAGAGAAAATCGAAACATTGAACGTCGCGTGAAAGTGGATCTTAATGAAGGCCTAAGTACTCTTTCGTAGCTTTTAGTTTTAGGATTTCAAAGATCGTCGGTTGCAGTAACTTACTTACTGAGGAGAAAAACGCGGTCCCAGATCCTTTCATATTAAAAATATTAAAATATCGCTTGTTTATCGTGTATTTTGTAAAACTTTTCGTTGTCGTCGGTGCCGGGTTTGAATAGTTATAAAAACTTGAGTAACGCTATAATGTGATATGAGAGGCTCGGTGGCCTTAGAGCAACCGTTTTTGCTTACTGAGCAGAACATCATGAGTCTAGTCTCAGGCTCATCCACATTAAAGATTCGTCAATGATTAAAAAGGAGCTCGTCTGCCTAGTGGCAAACGTTTTTGCTTACTGAGCAGAAGACCGTGGGTTCAATCCCAACTTCCTTCGCGTTATACGATCGTTAGGACATCAATTCAGCTTATCGTTTACCAAAACGAACCCTGCTGCTAACCCAACCCTCTTACCCAACATCCCTGTGATTCCTCGTGGAAGTGCAGAGGACTTCTCGGCTTCCATCAAAGCGATTGTCACGTCAACACATTCCTACCCATTCCTTTCTTGACCTGTGTTCAGGCGCGCCTGGCGCTGGTATTGCCTAATTCGAGATCACCAGTTTTTACACATTGAGGATGATTGCTAGTCCCAAGCATCGTCTATTGGTTCTCTGTGTAATTACAGCTGGTCTGGCAATAACAGAGTAGCAACCGTGGGCGGTCAATCATGCTCATGCTCATGCTCATGCTCATGCTCATGCTCATGACCTTCACCTTCATGTGTATCAATTTGTCCAGCTCAGTTCATTTTCTTTGATCTTCATCCAGTTACATGTTTGCCTTCCTCACATTCTTCCTTCCTTCCTTGCTCCGTTAAGGGGGAGTACACTTTGATTTTTCTAAAAAATGCTTTTTTTTTTGGCTAAAAATGTTCCTAAATGATGTATACTTTAATTTAGAAAAGACTCCAAGTCCGCCAGAATATTCCTTACCGCTTTACGAAGCGATTTCCTAAAACATGTACCGGCGCGCTGAGAGAGCAATTTTATCTTTAAACGCGTTTATCTAGAAACGGGCTTTTTCAAACTGGCGTGGGAAATAACTCTAACCACTTATCATCAAATTTGGATATCGCCTAGGTTTTCTTGTTCAAAATTAAATTCTGCTTAGAAATACGTATCCACATTTTCGATTTTGTCAAAAATGGATTTTTTATCCACGATTTTGTAAGCATTTTTAGGGGGAAAAAATGGACTTTTTTTTTCCTAAGGCCACAACTTTTGAAAACATTAATTTAAAAAAAATCGGAATACGTATTTCTAACCCAAATTTCATTACTAATCAGGATTTTTGTTCGATTTATGTTCCAGGATCACATGGAAAGGAGTATTTTCCCACGCCGTTTTCCGACTTCCGCGCGAGGACGCCCGCGCGACCTGGTACACCGGCCACGGGGAGACGCCAATCGAGTTCAAAAAATACAAATTGTAGTTCGAAGGATGACTAATAAATGGGTTATAACATATTTGCCCTCCCTGAGTGTTTTATTGCTTAAAAAAATTAACGAAAATGCCTTACTTTTGGGACGTTCAAAGTGTACTACCCCCTTAACTGCACAACCTTCTTGCCTCTGAACCGGGTTTCGGCTGCTCCATCTTCTTCACATTCTTTCTTCCTTCCTTGCTCCGTTAACTCAACCGGTGGAAACTAACGATTTTAAATTGGCTCGCTACTTGACTAGCCTATTGGTACCAAGCAAACGATTAGCGTAGCCCATTCTATTCAAAACTCTAGTACTACACTATGTTTGTTTTGATTCGCTATGAAAGTTTGACAGATAAAATGAGGTGCTCGTGGATTTTCCTATGTTTCGAGGGGTGCATCGATTAGCTTGGGACCGAAGATAGTACCAGAGTTGAGCCAAAAAGTTGAGCACGTTTCTTCGGGACCTTCTGGTCTTAGAGTTACCTCTATGGTTAACAGCTTAACCTTCTTGCTTCTACAGCGGGTTTCGGCTGCTTCTTCTTCTTCATCATCTTCATATTATTCCTTCTTTCCTTGCTCCGTTAACAGCTTAACCTTCTTGCCTCTGCACCGGGTTTCGGCTGCTTCTTCTTCTTTTCTCTACATCCTTCAAATTTTTCGGTACAGTCCAGTTTGCCGTAGAAAATTGGTGGTTTGCTCCTCAGAGTTTCCTAGCGCATCTCGCAAGCTTGTTGTGTCAATGTCGTTCTCTTGTCGTTGACTCTCGTAGTTTTTACACTGCAGAATCACGTTTCACACATCTAAAGGCGTTCCACAACAACTGGGCGGGGTTTCCTTCTTCAATAAGAACGTATGGGTTAGCCGCGTGTGATCAATTCTTAAGGCCCACGCACATTAGATCCGGATCGGACGCGTTGCGGCAAAGTGACAGCTAAATCTATTGTCTAACTGTCAAATTAACGTCAACGCAACGCAAACGGATCTAATGTGGGTGGCCCTTTAGTCGTGTTAGCACACGCTGGTCGAAAGTGCTTCCCCGTTCCGTCCACGTGTGCGTGTTGTCTTTGACTTCTCTTGGTTTGGAGTCTCTGGTCGCGAAGCATTAGTCGTTCCATGGTTGGCCATTTTTTTTTTGCATCCCATATAACAACCCATTCTCCGTAGCATCACACCAACCGAAAAACATATCACACGTGAGGAAACTGGCCCGGCTTTGTGGTTAGCATCCATGCCTTTCACGCTAAATGTCTCGAGTTAAAATCTCACCCCCGGACAAGTCACGAATGACCTAAAATGTGTTAAAGTGACTATAATAATAATAGTAATAAGAATAAAAGAAGATCACACGTTATTGAGGGCATAACGGGTAACAAAAGAGTTTGCGAGAGCACGCATCTCTTTTGTTATTAGGTAAGCAGATCACTGCACTAACAATTCAAGAAAAGTAAATAAGCGCGTTTGCATTTATTAAAAAGTGTGAGTTCCGATTTAATCGTCTTGTTGTCTTCAGTGCACTTATTCCACACGAAACAAGACATTGATGTGCCGAAGACATTAACATGATTTGTCGAAAACGTGCTCTTTTATCACACTTTTTGCATTTTGAGATACCGCTCGAAATCGAAATCCGTACACCTGAAAAATTATTCAAAATTCGTACACCGTTTGAATCATTTTCCACGTGTATGGATTTCGACCCCGTACGGTAGTTTAGTTTCAGTTGTAATTAACATTTCTCAATTGTGCTTTCTAGAGGAGAAAAGGCTTACTTAGGATAATACTATCTTCTTAACACCTTTGATTGTCCAAAAAAATTAATTTCCCCTCAATGACTGAAGGATAGTTCACATCAACACTTCTTACAATGATGGTTACAGATCTTCATCATCATCATCATCAAATCACCTAAGCACAGTGAGGAAAATCTTCAATCTTATTTCTGCTAAAGATATGTTGCAGCTATGCTGGTGGTAGCTAGAGAAAGATGAAAAGTGCACACTGTGCCGATTGTACCGCTATCATCAAAGGGGAGGAATATTCATCGAACCAAATGGTAACATAAACGGAAAATATCAGCCTTCTCTGCGTAAATGGGATTTAATTTAATTGTAAGAGCAACCTGTTGCCTTTTCACGTGCGAATCATTAGTGTGGAGAATCAAAACAAAAACCTTCACCTTGAAGTATGTAGGTACGTCGAAGAAGCCGCAAAGTAGATGTGCCTTCTTTCGATGTTGAATTTCATTGTACCATTCCGAGACACTGAGTCCAATCTTGGATCTTGGCCAACTCCCCAGACCCCAACTCAAGTGTGCCCGTTCGCGCGAAAGAGAACGACGAAGAAAGGTGAACAGCCTACGGAAAATTTCTTCTTTCGCCATCTGTGTCTGGTGGCCATCACGCGCTAGAAAAACAGTGCTCTTTCAGATTCCGAGCCGTACACAACTGGCTGCGCGTAGTTCGTGTTTTGTTTCAGGAAGCGATACTTCCGAAAGTGTATAAAAATCGTCCCGCTATCTAATTGACGCCATCAAGGATTAAATGGCTAAGATGAATTATCTAGTGTTCTTGGTAAGCATCTGTGGTCCGTTGCGAAGTCTATGGGTTAAAAATTCCCGTTAAACTGGACAAATGCCGAAATGCAACTGAAATGATAAGAAGCAAATCGTCATCAAATATTCCTTTGAAAAATATGCAAATCGTGTGCTACTTTCGATGGATACTTGAGTGAAAACGAACAAACGGAGACTTTTCTCGACTTGTTTTGCAAAATGAGCTCAAAGCTTGTTGCTTAGCATGGAAATGGTGACGAATGACAAACTCGTCTAGTGAAATGTGTTTGTAGGTCAAATCGAGTGAGAAACTGTTATTTTTAATTGAAATCGACATTGTTATATCGGGAAAGACAGCAACAGCCACCGGATGGCTAATGAGTTGTTTGAATGTACAATGTGAAATTCAGCGGCAGAAAGGAATGCTGGAAATTCGGGAAAGTGAAACTCAATTTATTCCTGTCATTTTAATGTCCGAGATTGGAAACCTGTTCGCACGGGTTCGTCGCTTCGAGATTGAAGTCGCTTGGTTGTCAAGCCAAGCGGTGGCGGCGGTCGTCAAATGAAAGTGGTTCTCATGCCCGTTCAATGATCCATTGTCGGATGGATGCATGTGACGAATTATTGCGCGATGTGATCATAGCTGGCATAACTGTAGTTTGAATCAGTTAACCCAAAAAAAGACGGACAGCAAGGAAAATAAAAGTGACTTGATCCGTGAACATGTGATGAGATGATGATATGCTATTTGACGTTTTTGGATACGAAGCTCATGGTGATAAAATTAATTTTGAGGATAACGCATCTATCTTCTGCTTCTTCCTGGATTGTCTTGTTCCTACTGAAGTTATTGCTTGTTTTAGCATGGCTTTCTGGTTTTAGTGTTAAAACTTCCACCGTTGTTGATTTAGACAAGAATTTAACCGGACCGAATAAAAAAACTTCGATCTCATCGATCTCATCGAGCGCTGAAGCACACATCCATTAATCATGTACATTAATGGTTTTTTTGATCAGTGATTCTGCTGCAAACAAGAGTGCAAACAGATGCTTTAAACACAGTTAATATTTTTTTCTGTAATTTTAGCTTATTCCTGCTCTAGACTTATTGTTCGTTTTGAGCACTTTCACAGTTATCAATTGAAAACTTTCAAGTCTACAGTAGCACTCAAAAGTCGTTTGACATATAGCGTTTTATTATTTTTTTTCTGGTATAGTTTTTCAAATTCTTGTATTTTTTGGTGATTTGGCGTCAAAAGATGATTGCTTTTATTGACGAATTATAGAGATAAATTTTTTAAATTTATGTTTTTGATTAATCTAAAAAAATGCGGATTTTGTACGGCTCAAAAGCCATGAAAATGAATTCGTAGAAATCGCCATGGCTTTTGATATTTCTCAGAACAGCAAGTTTCAATAAAATGTTATATTTAGCCATAGAAACTATTACATGGTCCATTTACTATAAATCATATTTTAGATTAACAAGGCATATGTTTAATACGTTGAATTGAATAGATTCTGCTGTACTATCCAATTTAGCTAAAATAGCGATCTGAAATGGGTAATTGGCGGGCTTTTTGGTTACTTGAGGAATTAACGACTCGTTCTTCCAATAATAATATTGAAGTGTTACAGATCATATTTTAGTATTGATGCTTTCAGCAAATTTGTTTGTACTGATATTTCCTACAATTTCGTTGAAGACATCTACCCTTTAATCTCGGCTAGGAAACAAGCGAATTTTGATTTTCACTTAAAGGGGAATTAATGAAGTATCGACCTTCAACAGGATTTTTTACTTCATTCCATTCCATTCATTGATATTGTATTGCAATTGAAACTGGACTTCTCAAAAGTTTGGAATCGGTAATAAAATTGTCCTTTGACGTTGCGTCTTCTGCGAACTTATTGCTTATGATATTATCCGAGGAATAAGTGCGTGGGGACTTCGTGGCTATGCAGTTAGTGGCGTCACCCGTCGTTCAGTGGGGGTTCGATTCCCGCTCCAGCCGGTGGAAGTTTTCGTAAAAAAGGAAATTTCCCTATTGTTGTCTACTGGGTATTCTCCATGGTCCGTTGTCTAGGGTTCAGTCTGTGCAACCTTCTAGTTGAAGACGGTGACAATTACAGACATCAACACGATTTAATGTAAAAGCGCACTTTATCAGCGTTTCCGTTCTTCTAATCGCACTTGTAATGAGCAATTAACAATGCGAAATATATTGTTTTTTTTTTCAGCTAAGTTGCTTGTACAGGAATCACCCAATGAGCGCGGTGGGTGGTGTCGTCCATCCATTGTATTTTCTCGGCTGTCCTGTAACCAATTGAGTAAATTTTGACACCAATCACATTTAAAAAATCAGCTGAGTCACAAGCACAGCTGAGAAATAGCGGTGGGTGGTCGGCATCTGCACCCTGCACCGCGCTTATCGGGGGATTTGTGTATTATTATACCCTACAAGTTTGTCGAAGACACATGTATTTTATCTAAACTAAAAAATAAAATAGCTAAATTTAGAGTCTAACTTCTAGGGGTAATAACAGTTATACTACCAAACCTGCAAAATGCGGGTCGATGCTGTGAACATGCTCGCTTATCAGCCACAGGAAAGGCGTGCTATGTCAAAGAATTGACATACAGTTCTGAAATTTGCCCAACATATAAAATCTCCCCTATTTAATATTGAGGTAGAATAAGTTTGCCTAGTGTGCACCAGACTTGGGAAAACACGCACCGGCACTGCGAGCCGTGCAAAAATATTGCTCCCCGTTCAAAGCTAACACGCACTCGGTTTCGGTACCTCTTGTCGGCTCGCCACCGATACGAACAAGAAACCTGAACGCGGAGCCGTTTTATTTGGCTTGGTGCCGTGCTATGGTTATTCGGTGCGCTCCGTGCGGCTCCGTGCCAGGGTCCGGTGCCAGACAGAATGCAGTGCTTCTTCTTCTTTTTTTCCACTATCGCAGTCTGCTAATTTTTTTTCGTTCCTTTTCTGATTGACCTTTCCGGCGATACTGTACCTCTTTACTCCTATGAGAAAACCCCACAAACAACTGTCATTATGTGCGTGAAGCATGGCGGGCTGTTCCGTACTCTGTCACTAAAATGAAAAATCTCAAAGGGGTTGTTCATAAACTACGTATACAGTTTTTTGGGATTCTTGACCCCCCTGAAATTTTAAAATTTGTCATTGTCTACGTAGTTTATGAACAGCACCCGAGCACTCTGTGAAAAGCCAATGCCGTCAATGCGAATTAATGCAACAGCGATTTTCACCATGTAGCGTTAATGCGGCAAATATTATTGCCTTAAAACCATAGTTTTTTTTTCCCGCAAAGGTCAATTAAAAGTTGATTTTGTTGTTCTTTTTTTCACTGGCGAATACAATTTGCTTCACTATAACGTTATTTAGAAATTTTTCTCTAGTTTACGCAACGCGGCACAATATGTACCAAACATAATCGTAGACGAGAATTGGCGTTGACGGCGACTCTGTAGCTCTTTACTCCTATGAGAAAATCCATAAGCAAACGTCAGACTGTGCGTGAAACAGGGCGGACTTTGTACTATCCTTTCACTCCACCGAAAATTCTCATCATAAAATGTCTATATTTGCCGGAAGAGAACTTTTTTGGCGGTGCCAACGAAAATGGCCAACACATCCGTATCCGAACGGACCCTGTTCCTGTCGAGAGAAAAGACAGACGCAATTAAGAACGCGTTTTAAACTATTTCAGAACAAATTTCTTGAGTTCATCGAGTATAATGAAACTATGAGCTACTTGCTACCACTTCCATTGAAAAACTCAGTTGTTACAAAAACGCAAATGGGACCATAGCGCAACACCAACAACGAACGATACGAAATCATGAGCGAACCGCTGGCTCCGTGCCGCACGGTGGCGAGCCGAAGCCCGTAGCACCGCGTTCGGGTTTCTCTTTTGGTTCGGTGGCGTGCCAACATGCTGCACCGACACCGGGTGCTTTATCGAAGAAACCCAGTGCTGTGCATACATGAGTAGGTTGCCACCGAGCCGCACCGAGCGGTGTTTTTACCAAGTCTGGTGTGCACTAGTGCTCCTGTTTTTGGTCCTCCGACCAAACTCTTTTTTTCTTGATTTGTTTTCCGTCGAACTTGTTTTCCGTGCTGAGCACCAATGCTACCAACGCCAGAGAGGCAGCTCCCACATCTGGACCATACCTATCGACCCATCAACTCATGAACCGGGGACCAACGGCTTTACTTCCCATCAGATCAGCGTGATCAGAGATGTTATGCCTCAGAACATCCCGGTGGCGCCCACTGGGGTTGAACCCAGGCCTGCTGGGGTGAGAGGTTATCACGCTTACCACTACACCACCGGCGCCGCTAGATTTTAAATATGTTTTAATGAATAAACGATACAAACATATGCATTAAAAATGAAGAAAACAAAGAATAATATTTGATTCGAGAAAAAGAACGATTCGATTCTCGAAAACGATTGCAATTAGGTTTCGATAATCGAGTCCAACCTGTATTTTGAGCAGTGATGGCATGATCATTAGCAAATTGATATTTTCCCGCTCTCATACGCTCTCAATATCACGCGTGATTTTGGAGCAAAATATAATGCTTGATATTGATTGTACAATCTCCTTTGATATTGCGAGTCTATTTACAACGTGTAACGTTGAAGCCTCGATTGCCTGAGAGTTGAATCGACGCAAAAATGATTCGGTTGCTCCTCGTTTTCTTTGAAAGAGGAGGTAAAATAATGCTATCTCTTTTCTTTATCCGATGGCAGACACGAAGCGACTGCTGCTAGCCGTTGTGGAAGTTTCGGTTGCGTTCGGGTGTAAAGCAAAAATCAAGAAACTCAATCTCACTGGAGAGATTTTCAGCTTGTGAGTTTTGTTAGCTTGACATTCCGAGCTGCGACATTACAGCTTGCAATGTCAACCGAAAATCAAGCGTGATCTTGGGCTTTGGTGAGATTTGATTTTTTGATATTTTATCCAACACTGATTTTGAA